CCCTGGGCGGAGGGCGATGCCGGGCTCACCCGTCCCCCCGAGGAGGCTCAAAGCTTCCTGCGGCGGCACCAGGGTCTCGAGGTGAAAGGCAATCCTTGCTCTTCAGCAGCCTGAATTGCAGCCGTACTTTAATCACTCCTGCATGTCACTTAAGACTGATCCTAAATGCTATTTTATAATATACAGAGGAAACAAATGTCTATTTTTCAAAGCTATATTATTGAATGTATATATGTATAGACAGATCAGTAAGTGATGCGAGTGCCTTGTTACCAAGCAGTGTTCTCCAGGAGCGGGCAAGCCCCCGGGCGCTTCGGCAATAGCCTGCTCGTGCCGCGACTGCAATATTCCCGCCGAGGGGACCACGCCGGGTGCCCTTACATACCGGCAGCGCAGCGCCGGCGTCTGTGTGACTCCAGCCTGAGCAAGCTGCTTTTGAGAGAGTCAGAGAGCAGCTTCTCCGTCTGAAATGTTTCTACATGCAAAAGCTTTTAGCCGCGCGTGTGTGTGTAACGCCAGCGTTTAGCCCTGTGGGTTACGCAGCTGCCAAAGTTAAAGCCATATTGCAAAGCAAGCACAAGGTAAGAGGGGCCTCAGCTCCAAGGCGAGGCGCTTGTCTGCACTGTTTTAATGCCAGACACTAAAATCACGGCCAGAAAAGGCTCCCAAGCCCCCGGAGGTTTAAGCTATGCAATGGGGTGGGCTGGCAGAGCTGTGCCGCTGCGGGAGCCGAGACTGACCCTCTCTGCCGAAGCATCAGAGCCAAGCTGTACGCAGAGACCCAAAGCGGGACCTCGTCCTTCACCCAGGGGTGCAGGCTCAGGAACACCTGGGTTTGCTTTTGGGAAGGCAAAGAAACCACCTGCACTCATGTAAGATGAGTTCCTGGGAAAGTGGGAGATCGATGCCAATTTATTAGGGACCTTCCTTGGACAGTTCACGTGATGCATTCAGAGGGCTACACCTCGGATAAGCACTTATTTTTTCCCCATTTAAAAACAAGTCCCCTTTTTATCTAGCATGCAGATAAAAATGCCACACTGCAGGCAGCAGCAGGCTCTGGGAGCCGTTCCTGGCCAGATCTGGAAGGTTTCCTAAAACCAGAGGAGGTTGGTCACCCCACAGCCAGGCAGGAGCACCCCATCCCTATGCCG